TTGCAAGACTTTTTTTGCTCTGCTTATATCCGCCCTCTCAATGTTTCTCCTCTGCGTCTTTTTGTATGCTGCCCCGCTGTCACCGTAGCACAACTCGGCTTTCCGGCTGTTCCAGCCTGCCAGTACGGACGATCTCGCGCGGGGCATCATCTGCGACCGAGGACGAGCAACACATGTTTCTTCCATATCCAGTCACGCTTTCTCTCTGAATGGACTGCCAACAATCCCAGGAGATTTCGAATATAACAACCACATCATCTATGCTTCGCGTATCCCCACCAGTCACCAGCCCGTCCAGAGACATGCCCAGGCGAGTTGTCGGGAAGGTGTAACGAGAGAAACAGAGTTTGAGTTGTTCCTTTCCGGGCGTAACTCATGGTACCCCCTGAAAGTTGGTCACAGGCATGTGAGGGTCTTCGAAGGTCACGGTTGTGCTCACTCTTTCTAGTCCCATCCGAGTATGTTGGGATTTCTTGCAAGGCCCATGGGATCTTATGAGGACCGTTGGTAATGATTCGATAGACTTATGTAGCTCCTCTGGACCCCTACTGCGACTCCTCGCATCGCCCATGGTCTGTTGTAGGATTCTTTACATCGTCGCAAAGTTTGCTTGCGCTCGCACACATGCCGAGGCGCTCACAAACAGTTGCGATGATGTCTGGGTCCAGCATGCTGCAGTGCGCACGTTTGCCGCTCGCAGGTTATTGTGCTACTGGCGGGGACCAGCTTCCCTTGCCGCTTAGTGGTCACAGTCGCATTGTGGTGCTCACATGCAGGACTATTGCGGTGATTGCGCGCTTTTGCGAGCCTCACAGGAAGATGAGGGGGGAGGGAGCGGGGAGGGAGGGCGGGAGTAGTGCAACAGAGTTGTTCATCAAGTGCAACGTCCTGTTTACATGACCTTGTGCAAGTGGTCTACAGGCATGGCGCGTGCTGCCATGTGCATGCGGTATGCCTGTGCCTGCAGGCCATGCCTTTGCCAAATGTTGATCGCAGAGATGGCGTGGAGCTTACATGTGCGCCGTGGCACTCTCATACTCTTGTCGGTGGCAACGGGCGCACAGCGGCATTCACTCGCATCTTGCAGTGCTCGCGGACTGGTGCGTTGTTCATAGGCCTCTGTCTCGTGCTAGCAGGCGTCTCGCGGTGCTCGCGGGCTATTGTGGCACTGCCACGTTCTGGCACCATACTATGCATAGTGCCGTTCTCGCTGGCATGCTGTGGTATTGGCAGGGTCTTGCAGCATTGTGGCACTAGCACGCCGCATGCGTCATTCCCCCGACCCTCCGCCTTCGCTGCCCTTCCCTGCGTATCATGCGTTACCGTACCAGGGAACGACAGTCACACACGACTCTTAGCAGGATGGTGAGCTTGCAGATAGTTTGGCGGCCATTTGGAGCCAACTTTGAGCTCTCTTGAGACCATTTTGGTCGGGTATGTGGCGGCCTTGTTGGGGCTCCCCCGGGGCAGTCTTGAAGGATTTCAGGGCAATAGTGGGGCCGTCTTGGGCGACATTGGCAATCAAGGTGCCCCCCCCCGCTAATATGCGCTTCCCCCCTGGCGCCCGAACATCGCCTCTTGAGATGTTGGATGATCTTGGGGCATTCGTGTGGGCCTTTGGAGCCGTGCTGGCGCCTTCGTGGGTGCCTCTCTGGGCTCTCTCGGGCAATCTTAATGCCGTCTTGACGCCGCGAAGGTCCATCGGGCACGTAAAGGCGGTAAAGCAAACCGCAGCGACAAGCCTTCGGAATTTGACATATGTTTGGCCTCTCGGGTGACATCTTTGGGAGGCTCCGTTGCTATATGGAACAGTCTACTGTGCGCATTGGGGTCTGTCTGGAGGCATGCTGCAGAGCATCCGAAAGAGCGCTCTCTGCCGCTGCTGGCAGGGGGTGGGCTCCACCCACCCTTCCCGAAAACCAGCGGTGGGGGTACCCAGACCCCCCGCCACCACCGCGGAAAGTCATGCGCGCGGGTCCAGGCCCCCTCCGTCCCCCCGTGAAAGTGATTCGGGGGAACCCTGGGCAACGACGACGACGGCGACGTCGCCGCCGCCAGCAGACGACGCACGTCGCCACCGCCAGCAAACGACACAGACGACGACGACGACGACGACGATGACGACGACGGCTCACGAGGACGACGACGACGCACGACGACGACGTACGACGCACGACGCACCACGCACCACGCACCACGCACGCACGACGGACGCCCACGACGACGACGACGACGAGGACAACGACACGACTCCCACGCCGAGGCCGACGCCTACGCCGACTTCGACGCCGACGCAGACGCCAACGCCGACGCCGACGACAACGCCGTCGTTGACGACGGCGACGTCGCCGCCGCCGTCGACGACGACAACGACGACGACAACGCCGTCGACGACAACGACGACGACTACGAAGACGACCGCGACGACGACGATGAGGACGACGAGCAGAGTCGAGTAGGTAGCGTATACTCGGAGTAGAGCAGAGTAGGGTAGGGTATATTCGATCAGATGTTTGGGGGATCTTGTAGGGTAGAGTAAATTTGGGTAGAGTAGAGCGGAATAGGGAGATGTCGATAATATTACAATAGGACCTAGTACAGAACAGTATATGAGTAGAGCAGACCAGACGTAGAGTAGAACATAACTGAGTAGAGTGGAGAAGGGTAGGAGTAAAGGTAGAGCAGTAGCAAAGTAGAGTAGGTTATGTTAGGATACGGTAGGGTAGAGTAGAGTAGGGCAGAGAAGAAACGAGGAGAGCCGAGTAGAGTAGAGTACGGTTCTGTAGAGTAGGGTAGAGTAGAGTAGGTCTCTAGTCCTATTCTGAGAGAGCTGGAGGGAGCCATCGTAGCATTTTATCAGACCCGGCGCTTGGCGCGGGCGCCAGCGACAGGTGCGCCGTCGCCGCCGCTGACGTTGTTGCCGTCGTCGGTGTCGCCGTAGGCGTTGTCGTCTTCGCCAGGGGGCCGGGAGGCGGCGGAGGGGGTTCTGGGGACCCCCCGAATACTTTTCCTCGCGGGCGGGGGGGGAAGGCGTTTTGGACTCCCTAGGTTCTTCCCCGTTGGGGGGGGGAGGTGGGGGGGGGGTCCTGGTTCCTGACCCCCCCTCCTTAGAGACATGTTTCAGGCCAGGGACACAAAAAAGGATCGCGCTCCCCCGAAGATTTTGAGCCATCTCGTTGTGTATTGCGCCGTCCTTGGGGCATCCTGGCCTGTCCAGGGTAGTCTTGGAGCCGTCCTGGATTACCTTGCACGCCCTGACCGCTCGCGGAGGGGAGGGAAGGGGAGCGTCCATACATCAGGGGAGGGGTCAAAGAGCAGGGGGGGCCATCGTACCCCAAGGGGAAACAGGGGGTTAGAGGACAAGGCTCCCGACATCACCTGCGGCAGATTTGTGTCGCGCCGACGCGGCCGCGACCCCGTCGCGGGCGTTCAAGGTTGAGCGCCGTCAGTGGCCCAGAATCGGCCGAGAGGGAACGATCCGGTGGTCGGAGAGCCGCTGATCGGTCGAGGCTCAGCGACCCACGCGGTGTCGGGCTCCGACGCTGTGGTCGTCACAGCACGGGCCCGCCACACGCCCCGAGTGTTGGCGGGATCGTTGGGAGCGGGGCGGCCTTGCGGAGCCCGTGTTCTCTTCGGCTGGGCTGGAGACGAACAGGTAACCCGTTGGTCGCTGGAGGTCGGTGTTTTGGGCCTCCAGATTCGAGTCTGGTTTGAGGGCCTTCCTATCTCGGGGGTCTAGTGGTCTTCACTCTTCCTTCGTCCTCAGGGGTGGGAGAAGATCCAAGTTATTCCAACGCCTTCAACGCCTTCCTACGTCTTGGTTTTGCTCACTTCTTTCGACTGTTGGGAAGCCTGGGCATCGCTGCGCCACCGTGAGTGCTCGCATTCGAAGCTTGTCCACACGCCATGCCGAACATCCAAGCCAAGTATGGGAATCCTTTTTGGGCAAACCAATAATCAGAAAATTGAAGAAGCAGGCTCAGGATACTCCAAGCCATATTAAGACACGACACATCGGCAGCTTCGGCCCACGGCGGCAGTTTCTTTCAGGGTTCCATCGGCACAAGGACACCGACACGGGTCATCGAGGTGCCCATGTTTGTGGGCCTTGCACGTATCAGCGCGAATGTCCTAATTTTCGCACCACCTCCCATCCATGAGTTGTCCGAACACTTTCTCCTGCTCCGACCAGAAGAATGCCTGGCCGTGTCCCTCTGCCGTTTCGCTGCTTTGTCCGTCTCTTCTTTCCTCCCAATTGCTGCTGAGCCTGGCACAACCCGCCGACTGCCGATTGGGTTGCTTTGGTCGAGCACGTGTCTCCTCCCTCATCCCCCTCCACTGCGCAAGGATCTGATCCACATGCACTCAGGGGGGCGGGGGTCGATAGCCACATCCAACGCTCCGCGGGAGCTTCGGGGGAACGTCTCCAGCTCTCGGTGGCCATGGGTGACTCCCCTGCGCGAGCCCTCCGCCGTCTTCCTTGCCCCTGCCCCTCCCCTCCCCATCACTGCCCCCTTCATAGAAGATCAACTGCTCCAGCAATTCTCCAGCACAAGCCATGGCCTCCCAAAGATCTCGGTGTTGGGAGCCTCTCTAGGTTTTGAGGCATGCTTGCCGTCGAGCGGCCAGACGGATCTGAGAGCCAGGGCGCGCGTCGGGCCATGGCCTTGTCCAGTTGCTCCAGAACTCAGGTCCGATCCAATCCAATCCCGCTCCCTCACTTCCCCGCGAAGAGGAACAACTTGCAGAAACATGCACTGTTGAAGCTCCGCGCGGATTTCTCGGATCTGCGCTTCGCCCTCGACGCTTCCCCAGGCGCGCTTCGTGCGCCAGGGATGGGGTCCAGCTCCGATCCCAGAAATACGAGCGGACGTTCGAAAGTTTGTGTTCACGCAGTTTTTTCTTCTTGAGTTCCCTCCTCCCCCCACTCAGTAAACAGGGGCAAACAAACGTAGTCCTCTCTCTCTCTCTTTCTCTCTCCCCCCTTCCCCGGCGCGGAGGCCACGGTGCCGTTCGCCGACCCCGTGGCGGGCCAGGTCGGTGAGTGGAGCTTGCTGCGCGACTTCGAGGAGCGCTCGGCCAGGGTTAACATTAAAGGAGGGGTTAGGCTCGGGGGGGCTAACGTTCGAGATTCGCGGAGGTTTTCGGAGGCTCTCTGAGGTTTCCGAAGCTCGGGATGCCTTCCGGCGGCTGCGGCTCGCCGAGAGCGCTCTGTGGGTGCCCGAGTGGACCCGAGCGTCCGCCAAAGAGAGCCGAGCTGCAGAGCGAAGCCCATAGGCATCCTCAGGGGGCGGCTGGCTCGGGGGGGGGATCGCATTGACCCCCAACCGCTCACTCGTCGCCGGCAGGGGCCGGATAGAGTCGGACCGAGGTAGGAGATCGTGGTCGGCTCGGGGAGGGTGCCCTGATGTTCTTCGTGTTTGCTGGATGTTCTCGTGCAAACTCGGGGAGGATGCCCTCGAAGGCTCTGCACGTTGGCCGGCGGAGGGCCTCATGCTCTCGGAGGGTGTTCTTCTGTCTTGGGTTCGACTGGAACTCCACGCCGAGGAACATGCGGAGTCACCATCGGGGGCCTGTCGCCACTCTACCGGCGGTGTATCGCCGAATCCAGCTCTGATATTCCCCCCTGAGTTGGTCCCCCTCCTCAGGAGGGCGCGACCAGGGTCCACCTCTCTTCGCTCTTCGCGGAAGTACACCTGGCATTGGCAGAAACGTGAATTCTTGGGGCTCCGCACGGATTTCTCGAATCGGCGCTGGGCCTCCCCAGCGCCCCTGGCACGCTCCGCGCGCCAGGGAGAGGGGCTCGGCGAAGATCCAAGAAATCCGCGCGGGTCTCCGACAAGTCACCCTGGGGACCACCTGACGATCCGTTGGACTCCAGATCGACTCAAGGTCGACTCAAGTCGACGGACGCTTGACGCAGCATCGACGCATGAGTGGAGCGAGCCCAGAACGAGCCTCTGATGTCGAGAACGGCTTTGTTAGGGCCCCGGGGACCAGGACTATGTAAACGAGGACATTGTGCCAGATTCAGCAGATCGAAGACGACTGTTTGAGAACGCTTTTGCCCACGACAGCGGTTTTCTAGCGTAAGCCAAGCGCTATGTCACCAATGTTCCCGTTTACGAGGCCCTGGCCCTGGCCCTGTCACACTGCAGGCAGCCGGGTGTTGCCGAACGTGTCCCTGGCAGTTTGTTTCCCAGGCAATCCAGGCAGGCCCCCGCGGCCTCCAGAGCAACCCGCCCGCAGGGCGGCATGTGCTTCTCAACGGGGCGGCAATCCAGGGACGCCTTGAGCCAGGATCACCTTTGTCTGGGCCTCCCAGATGGGGTCGGAGCAGATGGGGTCGGAGGATCGCGCCACATCGCCGATGCATTGGCGATGCGGCGCGATGCGGAGTCCGGTTTCCCCCATGACGACATCGCCGATGCATTGCGACGTCGCCGAGGCATCGCCGAGGCATCGCCGATGCATCATCGGCGATGCGGCGCGATCTTCCGACTCCATCTATTCGAACCCATCTAGGAGACCTCTACTTTGGCCATCCCCGATGAGGAAGAGGACCTGCAGGAATAGTAGCCTCGTCTGGATTCGTCACAGCTTCGGGGCAGTAGCCGTTGAGTGCCGGCGCCTTGTTGCAGTCCTGCGTCCACTTCCGTGCCAGTTGTTTGGGAATTTGAAGTTGTAGCGGCTCGGAGTCAATCATCGAAAAATCAAGCCGCTCAGAAAAGGAGGGAGGTTCGGGGATACACCGCAGGGGCGCTAATCTTGAGGGTGGACGTCCCCCCATCGTATATCCCAGGCTTGGGTCCTGAAGTTCAGGTCCACTCAAAAACCTAACGAAGCCAAGGATAGGGGTCGACATATCGCCTGTTAAGACACGCCTGTTTTGTTACAGTGTCGTATGGGTTAAGTTGCGCTTCTTTGTGCATATTGTTTCTCGTATGAGTTGTCCGCATTGTCTAAGCCGCATCATTTTGTGAATCACTCTGATAATTGTGCTGTGACCAAGCTTGCACGAGGGTCCTGGGCTGAGGGGATGCCACGCAGGTAAATACAATCTGTAATGTGGTTCCCCCCTGTCCCTGTTTCTCCTCCCTTTTGCTCTTCTTTTTATTGCTGCTGCCCTTCTCCTCATCCTCGACTTCCTCGCCAGCTTACATTTACCATGCTGTCCCCGTCTACCTGCCCATTTAGACAGTGCTCTCTGTACGAGGATCGGTGGCTCCTGTAGAGGGGGGTATACGTAGAGCTGCGTCCGCGCGCAGTGTCGCGACGAGCGTGGCTGGCTTATGAACCCTAGCGTAAACAGCCTGCGCCAGCCGTGGCTGGCGCGTGGCTGGCGCGCATGGGCGCCAGGCCCCTCGGCGTGAGCACCGAGGAATCTCAGTGATTTCGCAAGGAATCCTATGGATGTCGTAAGGATCCCCATATATGTCCGAAGGAATACCACAGGCTTCCCAGGGTATCCGATGGATTTCTCACGGAATCCCATGGATCTCTTCCGGAATCCCATGGATGTCTCAAGAATCTTATGGATTCCCCCCTCCTCTCCCCCTCCTCCGCCCCTTGCCCGCCGCCCCCCTCTCTGCGGCGCGCGGTGGCCCCGTCGTGCTCCCGCCGCCCGGGGTTCCTCGAGAGCGGCCTGGATCGGGCAGGCCCCGCTCGTGTGCCCCCTTCTCCGTGCTGGCACCGTTCAGCGCTCCCCTCAGACCCGCTTTGGGGTTGCCATCGGGCTGGAAAGGCAGTTTCGGGACGGCCCGAGTCATAGCGGCCCAAGTGGTTCCCAATAGATATGTTTGTCGACCCCGAATGGCGCGTGAGTGGCCCAACGTATGCCACATTGTCAACATGTTGCGCCATTCGGCGCTTGCGACACTGGGTGTTCGCGCTTGCCATTGGTGTGCGTGTGCGAATGTGTGTGTGTGTGTGTGTTTTTCATTCTCCCCCGTCCCCAATTCAATGTTGGGTGCGGTCCAGGGTCGCCCCAATAGTGGTGCAATATTTAGTCGGTCGTTTCGGGAATTTCCGCAGCTCCTTCCCTCTTGCCGCCATTGATGTACCACTTTGTCGATCAGCTCACATTGACACTTTGTCGATGTACGGTAGCTCAAAACCTGGTAGGCAGCCCAGACAAATTAGCGACTTAGGTTTGTCTCCAACGTTTTGCGTCCTTCCCAGGCCAGTCTTTCGGTCCAATGCGGGCTTTACCTGACCGTCAGACAGCCCAAGAGTGACCCGTGACCTGCCTGCTCAAGTTTCGCAGTTGCGTTCTTTGGACGGCCCCTTGAGGCTATCTTAGGACACGTGGGATGTGTAGACCGCCAACCGCTGGGGAGACCAAACGGTACCGATACCGCTACTCTCCCGACCTCTCCCCAAGTGCGTTCTGACCAGAATTTCGAGGCGAATCAAGCGGTGGCGACGAGGGTCTCCCAGGAGGGCCAAAAAGGGGAAAACGGACGAAGGGTAGCTGTACGGGTACCTTGTCCTCCTCTCAACCACGCTTCCATGGACTCGGGAAAGTCACGCGGGGATTCCCAGCAACGCCCGGAAGTTCCCGGAACGCAGGGGCCCTGGCCGCATTTATTCAGGAGGAAGAGACGCACACTGATAAAGCAATCGTCGATTCCCCCGAAAATGGCAGTGGTGGGAACGACGAAACTCCAGAACATATGGGGAACCATAGGGAATCTTGGGACTTGTGTGTTTATTGCGAAGGCCTTACGGCCGGTGCCGCCGACCCTGAGAACGGGGGCGCAGGGGGAGGAGGATGAGTGGGAGGTGGAGGAAGGGTGGAGGAGGTAGATGAGGGAGGAGGAGGGGGGAGAACGGAGAAGAATGTGGAGGAGAAGCAAGAGGAGGAGAAGGAGGCAGATGAGAGCAGGAGGAGGGGGAGCAGAGGGGGGGGAGGAGGAGGAGGAGGAGGAGGAGGAGGAGGAGGAGGAGGAGGAGGAGGAGGAGGAGGAGGAGGAGGAGGGAGGAGGAGGAGGAGGCCAGAGGCTTTCTTGGGACAGCCTGGGGCTCTCTTGAGGCCGTCTTGGGCCGTCCAGGGCTCCTCTTGCGCCGTCTCGAGGCACTCTTGGAGGCCTCCTGGGCAATTTGATTTGGGGCTCTCCTGGGCTGTCTTGGGGCAGTTTGGAGGCCCCTTGGGAGCCTCTTGAGGCCTCTTGGGGCTTCTTCGGGGCCTCTAGGGGGCCTCTTGGGCCTGAGAGCTCGACCGTTCGGGTCCCCCGTCTGGGCAGTCTCCTGGAGCCGTCTTGGGGGCCTCTTGGGCCGTCTTGGAGGCGTCTTGGGCCGTCTTGGGGCCCTCTTCGGCCGTTCGGGGACCCTCTTGGGGGCTTCGTGGGCCGTCTCGGGGCGATCTTGGGGCCTCTTGGGCCGTCTTGGCTCGTCGGGAAGCGGAAGAGGCAAGAACGCCAAAATCTTGTAAACACGTATGGGAATCCATGAATTGTGTTTCTTGGGGCTCTCGTGGGAAAGCTCCTGGAGGCCCTGGAGGCCTCTTGGGGCGCTTTGCAGGCCTCTTGGGCCGTCTGGAGGCCGTCAAGGTGTCTTGGACAGATCGTTCGGCGATTCGGGGTTCTCTTGGACTGTCTTTGAGGCCTCTTGGGGCACTCTTGGCCCGTCTTGGGGCGTTTTTGGGCTCCAGGACTCCTTTATTTGCAATACTACGTGTTTGAGAGCTCGACGGGACCCGAGGGCCTTCCACCTCTGCACGATGGCGGACTTGACCCCCCGATCCTTTGCCTTCTCCTTCTTGGGTGTTTGCTTTTGGGGGACCTTCCTGGGGCCCACGTGGCAGATCTGTTAGGTTCTGGCTCGACTTTAGTTTGACTCAGGTTCGACTCAAGTCGACGGACGTTTGACCCAGCCTCGACGCATGAGTGGAGTGAGTGGTTTCAGGAAGGTCTCCAGAACGAGCATCCAATCCTGCTCCTCCTGCCTCTCAGGGTCCATTACGACCTGACCGATCTGATTCGATGTTGATTCCACCTCGCCCGATTCGATCAGATATGGATTTCCCGCCGATCCGATGCGACCAGACGTTTGCATGGTGTTGTTGTGCATCCTGGTGCAGCCGATCCGATCCGAGTCCGACTCCGTGCCGATGCGGCCCGATTCGACACGCAATCCTGTTCGATCAGATCTTCCGATTCGATGCTGGTTGAGCTTGCCCGTCGGGTGCGGTGCTGGCCTCCTCTGCCTCTCAGGAGGTCGGCTGCATCAGCCTGAGCGTCAGCGAGCCGCTCGACGTGCCAGGGGCGCCGACCGAGGACGCGCCGCGCACCGGCGCGCGAGCGCGCCAGGCCTGGCCCAAGAGGAGGCCCAGGCCTGGCCCAAGACCTCGCCAGTGGCCGGCTCAAGGCCTTGAGCTGCGCTGATCTGCGCGGATCGGCCGCCGCGCTCGGGCGTGCGCCTGGGGGAGGGGTGGGTCAGTCTCGTTTATCCGATCCCCATGCCCATCCCCATGCCCTCCGAGACCCCCACCAAACTACCCCCCCAATTGGGGATACACCCCTCGGAACCCGAAGGGAAGTGCCTATATCCCTATCCCCATCTAGGGGGTAAATCGGCCAGTGGGGCCCAGGCCACGCCGCTGGGGATGGGGATCGGATAAACGATACTCAGTGGGGGAGGGGTCAGTGGAGGAAAAGCCAATTAACCATACCGCTGCCCTTGCCTCGTTTTCCAATTTCGTTGGGCCTCCTGGGAGGCTCTCGTCGCCAACGTTGGATTCGCCTCGAAATCCTGGTCAGCACGCACTCCGGGAGAGGTCCTGCGAGTAGCGGTCAAGAGGGTCTCCCCAAGGGGTGGTGGTACAGTCAAGACGCTGAAACTCAGAGGGGCTAACAGATACCGATGTCGCTGCTCGTTCTGGAGAGCTCTCGTCGCCACGGCTGGACTGTCGTCGAAATTGTAATCAGGGGGCACCCCAGGAGCGGTCTGGGGAGTAGTGGAATCGGTGTCGTTGTGTTCCCCAAGGGGCTGGGAGGGTAGCACATTCCAGGCCTCCCAAATAGGGTTCGGGTACAAGGAATCGGAGGATCGCGCCCCATCGCCGATGTATCGGCGATTCGGCTCGATGTGAAGCCCGATGTTCTCCACGCCGACCCCATGTACTCGGACTCCAGATGGGAGGCGTCCAATTATGGAATAGTGTGGGATCGGAAGGGGCTCGCAGTTCCTCAGGCCCTGGCATGATTGTTCCTCCAGCGCTCCCCACGCCAACAAGAACTTTTGGGGCAAAAAGGGGGCTTCCTTCTGTATGTAGCGTTCCATCTGGCAGTGGCTTGGCTAGGGGGGTGGGCGGGAGGCGCCCTCGGTGGATGGGTTCCACAGAAGTTTCTGCCACGGCTTCGATATCAAATGCCATTGTTCCTTCTCAGACGAAGCAAACGGCGCAGAGATTTTGCCAAGCAATTGAACGCACGCTGGTCTCGATCCGTCGGGGACCCTAACTATTGTTTTGCAGTGCAAGTGCGGTGGCGGATGCATGGCCACCTTCGCGGGCGTACACTTGGCCATCTACAGTGAAGACGTGTGCATAAGGAACAGTTCGGTTTCGGAAGTGGTTCGCTTTTCCTTCGGTCCTACCATGGTTGATCTTCCAGCGCTGCTCGTGCGCCAAGGCGCTTCCGGGGCTAAAGGAGGCTGCGTTCAGCATACAGCATGCGTGCCTTATGGTCCAGCCGGAATTCATAGCAAGGATGAGTCACCTTCCCAAGGGTAGCCTTGCATCCTTGTCTCTTCGGTCCATTCTTAGTCACTTTCGATGACCAGCCCAGCTCGAAAAGCATCGACATGGGCCTCCAAGGGGCTTGCATCTTTTTGCCGCGTATCCCCTCCGTCAATCCTGACTTTAGCCGCTTGGTTGCACAGGGACGCGAATCCAGCCTCCCTGCACGCTTCGCAGTCTGTGTCGGAGAGGCGCGGCGTTCTTCCCCGGGAGCCCACGTGACCATGGCGCGCCCCGCGCGAAGCTTGTCGCGCCGCGCGCGAGCCGTGCGGCGCGAAGCACGCCTCGGCCGTGGTCGAACACTGGCCCGATTCTGGACGTTCTTTCCTATTCTCGCTTCGTGGGGCTCTATCCTGGGCTTGGCCCGGGCCATTCAGAATTCATGGCCTCTCGATCCGGCTCAGCACCCCTTAGTAGTAGTTCTTACGGAGACCTCCTAGAAGATGCCTCCGAAGGCCAGGCCAGGGGCCTTGCAGAAAGGATCTGCCCATCGGAAATACGATTTCTGATAGGCGTGTGGCCGTCCATCCCTGCTCGCCCCAACCACCACCGACCCCGATCGCCCACTCCTCTCGCCCACCAGGAAAGGCCTTTCTAAATCCGCCCCGCGCTGTCGTCGCTTCTTGTGGTTCTGATCAGGTCACAAGTTTGGGCTTTCTTGAGGGGAGCCCGCTCCTGTCCTGAGGGCCTTGAGATGATGTCCTCTGGGCCGAAGGGGGCCGGAAGAGCGCCATCCGGGGGGGGGGTCAAGGGAGGAAAAACAGCCCGGACCCGACAATCGGCGTTCGTTAAACGGCCTTGGGCGTTTACTCGACAGCCAGGCCCTGTTTGGTTCCTTTCTTGGGTGCGTTTACTAAAGTGCTTCGCGTGGTGGGGTGATTTTCGTGAAGGTGGATTTTCTGCCTTCTTGGGGGGGGGTCAGGCCTCACCGTGTTGGCGCCCCTGCCGGCCCGCCGAATGGTCCGCTTCGAGGGGGGGGGGGGCGGAGATTGCCAGGGGCGGGGGGTGCAGAGTCATGCCCCCTCCAGCCCCCGGAGCCACCACGTGTAGAACTCCCTTGTGCTCCCCACCCTTCTTTCACGAGGAGGAGGAGGAGGAAGAGCAGGAGGAGGAGGAGGAGGAGTCGTTAGGGTGGGCCAGGCGTTTCGCCTGAGACACCCCCACTCCCCCTTTTGTTGAGTGTTGGTAGAGAAAGCGGTGGCCCTGGATGGCTACAGGCCTTCTTTTCTGGAGAGACCCAGAGGGTCTTCAGAGCACCCATCGAAGGGCCCAGTGGGTCCCAGAGGTTCTAAGATTGGTACGGCGAGCTTGAAGCAATCTGGGCCAGGATCACCTCTGGCACACTCCAGCCTCCCCTCCTCCCCTCCTCCCCTCCCCCCTCCCTCCCTCTCGAATTATCCATAAAGGCATCAATCGCCACGGGAGGACAGGGGGAGATGGGGCGGAGGGAGGAGGGATAGGTGAAGTGGGGGGAGAGCATGGGCGAGGGCGAGGAAGCTAAGGAGGGAGGTCGGAGGAGGGGAATGGGGGAGACGGGAGGGGGGAGGGAGAGGAGGCAGGGGGAGCGAGCGGGAGGTTCTGGAGGAGCAGGGAGGGGGGGGATAAGGGAGGGAGGGGGTAGGAGGGGGGGGGGGGGCAGTGACGAGGAGGGGGGGAGGAGGGAGGGAGGGAGGGAGGGAGGACGGGGAGGGAGGGAAGGTGAGAAGGAGGGAGGGCTGCGCGAGAGGCTCCATGGGCATGGCCCCCGCACCTCAGGGGGCTCCCCCCCCGGGGGTCAGGGTGCCGAGCACCGCGGGGCGGCCCTGGCACGCATCCAAGGCCTGGAGCGCGCGCGGGAGGCGGTACGCCTCTGCACCCGGCGGAGGTCAGAGGCCGCAAGCGCCGACGATGTAGCGACGCGCTCCAGGAAGATTTCCAGATTTCGATCGATCGGGCACGGCCTCACTCAGGCCCCCATCTCTGAATTAGAGATCGTACGTTTGGGCGGTTTGGCTTGCTACAGTTGCAGAACTGACAATTCAGGACACCCCGAGCGAGGCTCCAGAGCTTCTGCAGCTGATCGCATCATGACATCGTTCTCGTGCGAGGAAGGGGGATGGGACCTGGCGCCTTCCTCAAAGAGGAAGTTCGGGGATGCAGAGAGATCGTTTCGCCTCCCCTCCCTCCCAAACTTTTTGCGTCCGGGGGCCTACCTTGGGCCCCAGGATGGTCAGATAAGAAACTGGCTGGTATGGACATGGGAAGTGTTGTTTGGGGCAGTTCTATTCGCATTGGGCTTTGGGCAATAATATCCTGCTGCCTGCAGCAAACCCCGCCACCGTGCCTGTGCAGAAGCTCGGCAGGAAGGAGGCGGCGTGTAGGAACAGCGCAATTCAGACGAGTGGTGTGTCGAGTTCACACCCCGTTGCAGTTCAGCGATCCGTCTGAACTTGGACGGGTCGTGAATTCGACCTCGTCTTCGTCGACGCGGTAGGAAGGAGGTCGTTTTCACGCCCTGTTGCAGTTCAGCGAGTGGTCTAAATTGGAACGGGTCGTGAATTCGTCCTCGTCTTCGTCCGCGTGGTGTGAAGGAGGTCGAGCTCACGCCCCGCTGCAGTTCAGCGGTTTGGCTGGACTGAGGAAGCTCGTGGTCTCGACCTCGACCTGGTCCGCGCGGTAGGGGGGGAGGTCGAATTCACGCTCCGTGGCAGTTCAACGAGTGGTTTGAATTGAGGTGGATCGTAACCCGCGTTCGCCCGCGCGGTATGCAGGAGGAGGAGGAGGATGGGGAGGAAGAGAAGGAGGCCTCTCCGTCTTGGGGGCTTCCCTAGGCCTTCTTTGTGCTCTCATGAAGCGTCTTAGGGCCGTCTTGGAACCCTTCACGTGAAGCTCTTGGGCGATCTTGGGGTCCTCTTGGGCCGACTCGGGGCCCTCTTGGGGGCCTCATGCGCTGTCTTCGAGCTGTCTTGGAGGCCTCTTGGGCCGTCGTTGGCGGTCGGAAAGGCCAAACAGGCGAGAACCTCAAAAGACTTCTAACAACGCAGAAAACTCAATGGTCGCTGCTTCCTCGGGCTCTCTTGGAGGGCGTCTTCGAGCCCTCTTGGGCCGTCTTGGGAGCCTCTTGAGCCGTCTTTGAGGCTGGCTTTTCAAAGCCTCCTGAGCAGTCTTGGGCCATTTGGACCCTTTTTGGTGTCGTCATGGCTGTCTGAGAAGCCGTCCTAGATGACATATTGGCCGCTTGGAGGCCGAAAATACCGCCCGAGAGCAACTTTCAGGGGGGACGATTTTTGTATCCACGCGTGCGTCGAGAAAACTAAAGAAACCTCCCAGACAACAGCAAGCATTCTGATACGCCCACTGGGCACAAGGCCCAGTGGCGGATGGCTTCTGCTGGGCCTCCTCGAGGCTTGTCGTCGCTGCGCTGTGTCTGCTCGAGGTTCTGGTGAAGACGCACCCCACATGGTGAGGCCCGGGGGTCGACTTCGAGGCCTGGGCCCTTGATCCCGACGACCTGAAGCAGCGGCCTCGAGGCCCTTCCATGGGGTCCTCCACGGGCGTTCCTCGCGCATCTGGGCGCACTTTCGTGAGGGATCGCGAGTGTCAGTGACGTCTTTCACGCGGCGCGTGTTACTCGCTCTCTGTGCAAACTTGTGTACATCTTCAACAAGAGGACGCTGATGCTTTCAGGCCGCGCGTGTTACTCGCTCTCCGTGAAAAGTTGTGTGCATCTTCAACAAGAGGACGCTGATACGGTCGTGGCTCTGATATCCTTATGTCCCTCCAGCGATTGAGGTCCCAGGATGGTGTTTCGGTCCTCTTCCAGAGTTCCCTGTTGCAGAGCCCTGGCTTGTCAGCCCCGCTGAGTGCGCACCGGGGCCATCTGGGTTACAGGATGCAGCTCCTGCGCGCTGCAGTGGCGCCCGCGGCGTGCGACCCCACCCAGTGCGCGCGTGCGTGCAGAGTGCTGCGGCCCCCGAGGAGGCCGCCTTGTGCGCAGCGGCGGCGGCGGCTCCGAGGCCGACGGTGCCCGCTGAGAGCCGCGCTGCAACTTCGGGGGGCCTCGTTCCAGGCCTCCTAGATGGGGTCGGAGGATGGCGATGCATCGGCGATGCGGCTCGATGCGGGACCCACGTTTCTCCACCGACGTCCCCGATGCATCGCGGACCTCGCCAGTGCATGGCCGATGCATCGGCGATGCATCGCCGATATATCGGCGATGCGGCGCGATCCTCCGACCCCATCTACTCCGACCCCATCTAGGAGGCCTCTACTCGTCTGTCCTGAAAATGGTCAAAGAAGTGGAGGAGGAAGGAACGGCATAACCACAGACATTTTCGGAGGTCCGCGCAGATTTCTTGGATTGGCGCTGGGCCTCCCTGGCGGCGCCGCTGGCGCCGCCCTCGGCGCGATCCGCGCGCCAGGGAGGGGGGGTTCAGCGCCCGTTTGTGTCGACTAGACGTAAGAGTGACCTTTCGCCGGAGTGACCTTTGGTGCGGGCACAGATGGGTCCCCAGATGGCTGAAAACGAAGCATTCTTCTCTGAGCAGGAGTAGGAAGCAGAGGATTTACGAGGCGTGCGTCGTCTCCAAATTTTTGTACAGTTTAGACACAGAGCGATTAAATAAAGCGGAGTATTCTCGAATTAATTCATTCCACGTTTCTTGTTTACGGAAGATTTGGGGGATACCGCACCCCATGATTTCGAGAGTGCCCAACGAAAGGGTTTGGGACATTGCCTCGGCGCGCCCATGGGAAGAGCAGCTGATTGCCAAGCAATTGTGCCTGTTTGGAAAAGTAGCACGAATGCCAGACACCAGCATTGTTCGCAGATCAATTTTCCAACCTTCGTCAACGCAGCTGGCGCGGCCAGCCGGCGTGCGAAAGCGAGGCGTCCAAAAGTTTCTTGGGGGCACATAACCAGAATGCATGCGATCAGGGCCCTGGGTGGAGACGAGCATCGTCTGTCCGCCGCTCTGGGCAGAGACAGTGGCTGCTTCAAGACGTGGAAAGCCGCTGTACGACAGTATGCTGTTTCACTCTGACTAATCGCACTGTTGCCGATGTGCCGTCATGGCACGGCTTCTACGTACGTAGCAGCTGTTTGCGCGCCCAGGTTTGGTCCCCCCGCGAAAATCGCGCACCAAAGGCAGGGTCACTCAAGAAATTCGCGCGGATATCCTTCAGCCTTCTTCTTCGGCGCGAGGCGTGGCGTTTTTTTTTTTTTGTCCCCCTTCCTGGTGTTTGGGTGTTCGACGAGTGCTCGACGCGGAGTCGACGCGGAGTCGACGCGGATTTAACGCGGATTCGACGCGGAGGCGGCGCGGGTGGCGGCGCGATGGGACAGATAGGGCCCCCAAGGATGCAACAGAAGCAGGTGGGAGAGGCGGGGGCCCATGAGGTTCGGGTCGGACGGCGCGGGGCACATTTCTGCCTGATGCCCTCTTGTTCTGATACATCGGCTTATGTTATCTGATCATTGTCTTGGCCCTGAGAGCATTCCGTTGCTCTCAGATCATGTCGTGGCATGCTTATAGGGAATGCCGAGACGATCGGTCCCTGTTCAGAATGCGTGGCCGCCTCCAGCGCCTGGGCCTGCCCGGAACACCAGCTGCGTGCAGCCGATTCGCAACCATCCCGCTGTTCGCCCTTGCCCGCCCTCACGCGTAAGAGCGAGGCGTGCGCCCAGGAGGGGCTAAGAGGGGGTCACCACCAGGAGGGGGGGGAGATAGAGGCTCGGGCGGGTCGGGCGGGGCCAGGACCAGGACACATCGCTCCAGAGCTTCCCGGAGCGTGTTCACAGCCAGGGCGCTCTGGAACGGCCGTGGGGCGACCGCCAGATTTCAGAGATCCCCCATCCATCCGGGTCGGATTTTGTCCCGGTCCTGGCTTTTTCTTCTGATGTTCCATCCTACTTTAGCCTTGGTCACCAGAGAGAATCTCGAGCACCGAAACTCGAGGGTTCTCGCGTGGCGGGCCCTGGGAAACACTCTTTCGGCATTGTTTCGACACTCGTTCGACACTTTTCCGGGTGCTCGAAACTATTTTTGGGATGCGGTCCTCGCGCACGATGGGAGCAACACGAGTTTCTTCTCCTCCTCAGCGGGGGTTCTCCGCCCACGCGTCCTTCTCCCCCGTCGCTCTGCTCTGCGCCTTTCCCTGGAGAGGGCTCCGCGGGCCCATCTTGGAGGAGACCGATCGAAAAAATGGGAGCTCCAATTACGGCCCCCCCCCGGAAGCCCCACACATCGTTTCTTTTGGCCCCTGTTGGGGCGCTCTTGGGGCGTTATTGGGCGCTCTTGGGGCCGTTTGGGGGCTCCCTTGGGCCTCTCTTGAGGCCCTCATGGGGCCCTCTTGGAGTTGTCTTGAGGCTTCGGAAGGCCATCGACAGCGAACAGGCGAGAAGGCAAACATCCCAGATGTTCCTTCGGCTTTTGAAGGCGGTTGGCCTCCTGGCGGCCTCCTGGGGAGGCTCCGTGGCCATTCGGATTCGTCTTGGAGCAGTCTTGGGGCCTCTTGAAGCATCTTGGGAACCATGTTGAGCCATCTTGGGTTATCCTAAGCCATCGTGGATGTCATCGTGGGCTCCCTGCAACCCTCCTAGAGAGCTATCTAGGGTCATTTTGGACGCTCCAGCGCCTCGCGAGCCCTTCCCCTCCAGGTCAAGGAGAGGGGGTGGGGGAAGGGTCAAGAGACTGTCCTAGATAGCAAGCCGTTTTGCCCACTCCCACCCGCTTTCCCGACGCATAAGTAACACCCGAGCCTCTGTTCATCAGCCGTCTTTGGATGCACAGCTACTGGGAGCCAAAACCGCGCCCATGTGCGCGACGATGGGGTGATGTGCGGCACGCGTGCCAGGAATGCCACGCGCGCCAGGCACCCCTGGGCCACTGGGGCCCGAGCGTGCCAGGCACGCCTGGTGCGCCAGATGCGCCACGTGCTTCCGCGTACGCCAGGTGTGCCGCATACTCCAGCCGCGCCAAGTGCGCCACATTCGTGGCACGTGCAGACTGTGCCAAGTGCGCGTGCGCACGGGACAACACACATCGGGAAACGTGCTGGCCCCCACCGTCCATTTGTCGAAAACCAGTGCCCATCATCGTATCTGGTGGACCTACGCACAACAGGCCATACGCCACCACTTGACAATGATCGCGGGGTGGACGCGCACGATCCAGATTTAGCCGCGATGTGCATTGTGGTTTTTTCGTCAGAAGTGGTAGCCCTGCGCGCAGCAGGCAAGATGCTGACACCCCCGCCGTCCTTGCCAAACAACAGCACAATGCACTCGTGGGCCCCACGAACATGGAGGGGGGGACCTCATGGGATTTATCATTGTTCCTGGTTGCCTGCCGTTCGCTTGGGGGAGGAAGTGTATATTAATAGGAAACGGTGATAAACCCCTCCCCGAAGGGGAATAGAGAGGGGTTGTAAGAGGAGCCTTCCTAGACCACCTACGCCCAGAGGGCTGGTGGAGTTTGATGCATACAGTTGGTTTCGGTCCCGCGGCTGGGCGCCTTTCTTCGATACATGGGCGCCTCCCGGCGCTGGGAGGTGTCATGACGGCGCCGTGATAGCCAGCTACCTGAGCAGTTTCCCTTGTTTATTCCCCTTGCTTAACCCTATTTCGTCCGACCCGATAGTCCGATGATGACGCGGACTTTGTCACGTTTCGTTTACGCTGGCGTCGGATTATTTTGCTTGTTGGGAGAGGTATGGAAATTCAGCTGATGTCGCAAAAGGCCATCGGATCCATTGCACGAACACGGGTTGACATGGATGCGCTTGTGTGTGGTGTTCTCTGGGTTCGGGTCAGCCGAAAATCTGGAAGAGGGAGACTGATGTCGTTGTAGGTGCCCGATCTGCCCGTCTTCAAGAGAGTGAATTTGCCGCAGGCAACGCGAGTGCCAATCCCAGCGGATGGTCAGGCAACGGAGGCACATTGAACACATTCCCGCGAGCGGGGTCAGGCGTGCATTGAAAGCGCGCCAGGCCGGGCGTTCTCCATCTCTTTCGTTGTTACAGTCAAAACCCATAGCAAAGACGCACGGATGTCCTTAGGGTTCCCCTCCCCTGCGTCCTTGCCTCTGCGGCCCGTCCTTCGCGGTCTTCAGTGGAAACAACTTCTGGGTATCGGCAGTGGGCCGCCCAAAAATTGCCAACTTCGGGGTCCAAGGCTCTTGCGTCCTCACTGACCGTCCTTGTTATGAGCGTCCAGATACAAAGCGGCGGCGAACCCGGGGGGAAGTGACAAGGAACGGGCCTTGTGACACGTTTCCTATAGGCCTTCCCCGAAGAGAAACCCTCTCAGAAGGCCCGGGCTTCTGAGAAGTCCCGCCGCCTTCTGAGAGGGCCTTCTCCTTCTCGCTTCCCCACCTCGCTCCCCGCCGAAAAACAGGTTCGACGGCGTCGACACTGGCGCCTCAGCTGCCCGCGCAAAGGCTCGCGCAAGCGCCCTCGTCGCCGATGTAGCGTGCCGCGCCGGCGGCCCGCGTAAGCCGGCGCGTAAGGTCGCCGTGTCACCTCGCGTGGGACCCGCATTTGATCGTCGCTGAAGCCAATCCACCAGGCCGTCGCCAAGACGAGAGGAGCGGGAGGGGGCCAGACACGTGCGGGCGGAACGGAGGGAGAGCTTCCAGGCCCTGCGCCGCACGCGCCCCGAGGCCGTCGAGCGCTGCAGCCGCACGCTCTGGGACAGATCGGAGGAGAAACGTGGACCATCGCCACCGAGAATCAGAAGAGGAACAGGTACCCACACCGCTACCTTTCCCCTGTTTTCCATTTTTTGGGGTCCTCCTGGGCGGCCCTCGTCGCCACCGCTGGGTTCGCCTCGAAATCCTGGTCAGAACGCACCCTGGGAAAGGTTCGGGGAGTAGTGGTATCAATACTTGATGGTTTCTCTAGAGAACCCATTCATTACAGGCGATTTGCCTCCCCCAATGCCCGAGTTCCGCCCGAAAAGTTTGGCCGCTCAGAGAAAAAAAGGGGAACCCTTGGGATACCCCCGTAGGGGGGCTATTCGGACGCACCCCTATCGAAGATGGACGCCCCCCCATCGTGTATCCCAGGGTTGTGTCCCAAATTTCTGGTCCGTTCGAAAACCTCCCGAAGCCTGGGATAGGGGCCGACGTAACCGTTGTCAACGGCCACCGAGCACCCATCGATGGGCGGCGCGCGAGGGGGGGGAGTGAGAAGGATGTTGAAAAGGCCCTCTCAGAAGGCGGCGGGGCTTCTCAGACGCCTTCGCGCCTTCTGAGAAGGTTTCTGTGTCTTCGGGGAGTGCCCAGAACATTTCTCAGAAGGCAAGGTGACTTCCGAGCCTTCTGAGAAGGCCCGCCCCTTCTCACTTCCCGCCCAGGCTCGCCGCCGACCATCGAAAGAGGACCGACCCCTGGGCCGTGGCACGCCTGAGCGCCGTCCTGTGCTGGGTGACGGTCGGGCGTACCACCGACCAGAGGCCGGCGCTCTGTCGATGGGTTCTCGGTGGCGGTGGTCCAGGTTCCCTGAGATCCGACGTCTCAAAGACATGCAACATCGCAACACAACTCATGACTGGAGCGCTGGACCCCATCCTTTTGCGCCATTTTTCGGGCCGGATCGATCTGCGAGGGTCCTGGGGCCCGAACCTGGGCGAAAACTCCCGATGTGAAAAAATCGCGGCGCCAAGATCCCAGGGAATCTTAGGGCTTCTCCTCTAAACAAATCGGCCACGCGCAGGGGGGGGGGTAGGGGGAGGGGCCAGCCTTCTTAGAAACACCTCTGCTTCTCAGAAGGTGCGGCATTTGGGCGACGCAAAAAAACGGGGTCGTCTGCGCCGACATGGGCGCGTAAGCTGCCCGCGTAAGGTCGCGCGTAAGCGCCCTCGTCTCCAATGCGGCGTGCGACGCGGGCGTCCCGCGTAAGCCGCCGCGCAAGGTCGCCACGTCATCTCGCGTAAGACCCGTTTTTGCTCGTCGCTCACGTGTCCATAGATGTAGGGCTGGCGCCTTCTGAGAAGCAGCCTCCTTCTGAGAAGCCTTCCCCCCTCCCCCTCCCCCCTGGTGCGCGCCGCCAAGCAGACTCCCCTCCGCTGCCGCCGTTCAGCACGGTGTGCGACGACGTGCCGGTGCCGACGATCCCCGCCGGCGCTGGCGCACTGGCGGGAGCCGCCGAGGTCCCCGAGGCGCCAGAGGCGATGGTGGAGCCCCCGTCGGCGCCGCTCGCGGTCGGGGACCCGGTGCAGGTCTGGTCGCGGAGCGCGGGGAGGTGCAGAGTCGAAGGACAAAGCACATCCGCAACAAACTCGCCAGGGGGGAAGCGGGTCCTGAGGGAGACGGGCCCTGAGGCTTGTCGCCGTTTTCGGGCTCGCGGGGCCTCCCGCGGGCCCGGGACGGTCAGAAAACAATTCCGAGTGAAGATCTCGTCTTGGGGGAAGGCCGCAGGGTCCAGGACCCGTTTCCGAAGGACCGGAGAAACGTAAGACTCGAGTGCGCCGGAGCTCGGGATTGCCGTTTCTTTCCGACGAGCGCGGCCTGGATTTTGACGGTCCACTTTTCGTAGGATTCGGGCCGAACAAAAGGGGGGGACAAGGAAAGGGGGGGGTGCGAATTTGCTGCATGCAGCTGATTTCGGTCCCGCCGCCGGGCCCATTCCTCGATACATGGGCGCCTCCCGGCGCCGGGAGGCGCTGGGAAAATCAGCTATGTTAGCTGATTCTCTATCCTACCCTTGGCTGTCCCCCCCTTTCGTTCCCCCGGAAGGATGTTTGCAGCGGGAGTTCGCGTAAAATTTCGGACTGGGTCTCGTCATTTTCATGATGGCCCTGTCAGGCCAACCCGAGTCCCGCGTACACGAGTCTTACGCCCCCCCGAAAGGAGAAATCATATCCTAAACATACATTTTTCGGGGTTCCTCCCTGGCAGCACCTCTGGCGCCACCCCTGGCGTGCTCCGCGCTTCAGGCAGGGGGGTGCAGTGCAGATCCAGGAAATCTGGGCGGACCTCCAACAGTTTCTGTTTACGCAGTTTGTAATTCTTCCACTGAGGAGAAGGTACCGTTACCGCTATACCCTTGCCTCGTTTTTGTTTTTCGGGCCTCTCGGGAGGCCCTCGTCGCCATGGCTGGATTCGCCTCGAGATCCTGGTCAGAACGCGCCCCGGGAGAGGTCCGTGCAGGAGGTATCGGTACCTTTTGTTCCCCCCAGAGGTGGGAGACCGGCGTGGTGATCGAGGCGCACGGAGACGCCATCACCGTGGAGTACGGCAACAGGAGGCGCGACCTCAACGTCGCCGACGAGAACCTGGGCGACCACCTGCGGCGGCCCGCCGCGAAGCAAACGGGTTCTCGGGCGTTTTGCCGCTCAGGGGCTCCCTGGGCCCTCCAAGGACCCAGGCGGTGAGTTGTCGTCGTGGCTTTTTTCCTCTGGTGGCCCTCGCTTTCTTCATTCCGTTGCAACGTGCTTCACGCAAGGACAGACGAAGAGGTGGGAGAGTTGGGCGGATGGAAGGGGCGAGAGCCGCGGGGCCAGACCAAGACGACCCGTGCGATTGCACTTCTGCTGTCGGCCCGTGCTCTGGCAGGGGTCTGGGCGCTCCTGGGCCCGAGACGGAAGATTGCCCAGCTGTCGTCCTCCTCTCGTTGTCCTCGTCTTACTTGAGTTCCTGGCCAGCCGCGTTGCGGTGCTCACCGGTCGATGCCGTGCCAGCAGGCGCCCGCTGTGTCTTATCCAGTTTGAGGGTAGTTTATTCGCAGCCTGACGAGAGGAGGAACGCTATCGGAAAAGACAAAGACAAGGAGGAGGAGGAGGAGCATACGAATAGACGGAGAAAGAGAAGGGACGCGCTCCGCCACGCTTCCCTCAAAGTTTGCGCGCTCTGCCGTAGCAGATCCCTTTTGGTATCGGCTGTCCAGGCTGATTTGGGCCACTCGCGGGCGTTCCCAGACGACGGCGGCGCGAAACGTGACGTTGCCAGGTGGGGGGGGGCGGAGCCGGTAACCGCAGATATCGCCAACGAACCAGGACGCCCTCCCGGAGGAGGGAGAAGCCCCTGGGGCCCAGGACCCGTCTGCTTCACGCCCAGGCGGCCCGCGCCCAGCGCCACCGCCCCGCCGCGCACGAACGCGCCGCCTGCGCCGCCGCCGCGCGAGGGCGCGGTGCCGGCGGCGCCGCCCGCGCCGCCTGCAGCCCCAGCGCCCGCGCCGCAGTTGGCGCCGCCGGCGGCGACGCCGTTCCGCGCTGGCGCCGCCGCGCCCGCGCTGGGTCTCCCGGGCGCCGGCGCGCCGCTGGCGCCCGCCGTGGGCGGTGGCCAGAGGAGGGAAAGGTACGGATGCCGACCCTGAGATCCTGGCGACTCCATTTTCTCGAGCCGGGCGTTTCCGCCCAGTTTCGGGCCCGAGGGCCCTCACAGATAGATCCGGCTCGCAAAAGCATGCAGAAAGATGGGGTCCAGGGCTCCAGTCGTGATTGCCCACGGTGTCTCAATTTTTCGAGACGTCGGATCTCAGGGGAGGCCGCCGCGGTTGAGTTCTGATTGGGATGCATTTCGGGAGAGGTCCTTGGAACGGCGGCATCGGCACCGTTTCGTTTCCCCAGGCGGCTTGCGGCTCCCGCCGGCGTTGGGGTCTGGGGCGGCGCCCCAGCTTCAGGGGCAACGTTGGGGGGAGGGACAGGCTCAGTCAAGGGGGCTCGATTGATTAGGGCGCAATTCCTGGTCGGTTCAGCATCGGCGTGGTATATATCCGTGGCCGGCAACGGTCTTACTCCGGCATCATCCCGTGAAGTTTCGCTGAATCCCGCATTCCAGGGCTTGGTCCTCGGCTTGATACCGCCTGATCCGGCTTAATGTGGAACTTGAATCGGGCTCAATCGCCCGTGATCGTTCTGAACATGATTTCTCAGGATATGCTTCTTTACATCGACCCTTTCGTCGCCGAGAGGAACCCGATAGCCCGCCCGCCCCCCCCAAGAACGCGCTGTTTCGCTATTGGGGGCCTACTGCCGATCCATCGGCGACGCATCGCTGATTCCAGGTCAATGCTTCGCCACCCCTGAACCAGTCCCCCCTATCGTTCCCCCTCTCAGATGCTCGCAGCTGCGTCGACAGGGCTTCCGTCGAAGAAGAAAATCTGCACAAGCATGGACTTTCAGAGGCCCGCGCGGACTTCTGAGATCGGCACGGGGCCCCCCTGCATGGCGGCGCCTCCAGCGCCGCCACTGGCGCGCTCCGCGCGACAGGGGGGTCGCCAGCGCCGATCCGAAAAGTCCGCGCGGACCTCCGGAAGTTTGTGTCTGCGCCGACCCTTCTTCTTTTGCTTCAGCCCTGGGGCTACAGGGCGGTTCCGCCCGCCTTCGGCGCCCGCGTGGCCCCCGCCGCGTCCTGTGCCGTCGCCGCGCCTGTCGTGGTCCACCACCTCGGCGGCGTCGCGTACCACTGAGCGGCAGCCGCGCCGGGTCCCTCTCGTCCATCGCATCGACTTCGCCTCTCGCTCGGAGGCGACGATAGGGCGAATAGCCCAGGGGCGGGCATTACACGTATTCGCCGGCAAAAACTGTTGCGTCGGGCCTCCTGGAGGCCTCTCGCCGCCACGACTGGATCCGCCCCGAAAAACGGGCCAGGATGGAGCCCGGAAGGGGTCTGGGGACCGATTTTGATGCCAAGTTGACCTGGCGGGAGAGCCGCCGTTGTCTCAGCTGGCTCTCTTCCGATGTTTGTCCCCGCTGTGTGTGTGTGTGTTTTCGGCGACGCTCGATCGCACTTAGCTCTTCCATCTGCTGTTCGCGCTCAAGGACCCTCTGCGCCGCCGACTGAAAATGTGTGTGTGTGTGTGTGCGTGTGCTCCAGGCTTCTTTCGCACTTTGTTCAGCGAGATGTGGAGGGCTGGCTGGCTGCCTCCGCGGACCACCCGTTGGCCTTTTCTTGTGTGCAGCCGTCCAGAAGGAGGCCCGTCGTGCTTCTTGCGACACGTCAGGGCCGAAACACGATGCCAGGGGGCGGGGTCGTAAGCAGGTCTCACCCCTCACTTTGCCCCCTTGCCCGAGCTGCTGCCGCGCAGCCGGTTGCCGGCTCAGCGCTCGGCCGCCGCCCTTGCGCTTCAGGGCCGCCTTGTGGGTTCTTGCGCGCCCTCGGACCGACGGCGCGCCGTGGCGGCCACGGCGGCTCTGGGTGCTCGGTGCCACGCGCGAAGTTGGTCAGGCACAGTCAAGCGGTATCATGTCGGCGTCGTGCCCAGGGGTGAAGGCCAGCGAGGGGGGGGTTCTTTGTCAGACGTCTCAGAAGGCCTTTTGCCTTCTGAGAAGCTTTCTAAGCTTTCAACGAGGTCACAGAGGGTCTCGAACCGACAGCAGGCCGTGGCGGTCACAGCGGTTCTTGGTGCTTGGTGCGGCGCGCGAAAGCTGCAGCATGCAACACCAGGGCGAGCATTTTCAAACAGACTCAGAAGGCTGAGTGGTTTTCCGAGGGCACCCTTCCATCCTTGCAGATTTTGCCCATTATAAGACACTGTCGCGGGCCGTTTTAGCTCAAGAGGCTTCGGCTTGGGCGCCAAAGAGGCCTTGCAGTCTTGCCGCGCATTGTGATACGGTCGCGTTGTAGGAGGGGTGGGCAACTGGAATACCAGGAGGATGTCATGGTCACCATCGGCCCCGTGACATGTGCAACTTCTGCGGGCGAGGGGCTCGATACATTGCGAGCGCGGCCAGGGTGGCCAATGCTCTTCGGCCCCCCTAGCGGGACCGTGGCCAGATACACGGCTTTTGTTGGTTGGTCCCGTGGTGGCGAACGTTAAGCAAGACGTCGCGAATGAAAGGGTCCCATCGCAGACGTAGGCCCTTTGAGTGCCCATTCGGAACCATTCTGGGACGCGCTTTGAGGCAGCGGGGCCCCTTCGCGCAGGGTATTGGTGGGAGGTCTGCAACAGGCGCCGATGAGCGCGCGGGAGCAGCAGGGTCATTGCGTCCCGAGTCGCGGTTGGTACCCCAAGGCTCGACAGGAATCACGGGCCGCGTCGGCCCCAAACCCCCGAGCACCTCCCCCGTCGCACCCACCTCCCGCTTCTCGTTATCCGGGATGGACAACAGTGTCAATGACACGCCGCCTTTGGGAGCCCGTCAGCGTATTTCTCCTTCGTTTTTATCCGAGGGCCCCGTAATTCTTCTGCAGGAGCCCGCTGTTAGGTTCCCCACGGCGGTGCGCCATTGATATAGTCAAAATTGACAGTAATGGACTCGCGGATGTCCTTAGGGTACCTTTGCGTCCTTGCCTCAGCCCTTCCGGGCGCTGGCAATTCGCCGCTCAAAAGTGCCAACTTCAGCGTCCAAGGCTTTTTGCGTCCTTACCGCCCGTCCTTGTTATAGGTTTCGACTGCATTGCTTTTGCCATCGAGCTCTTCACCTCCGCTCCCGCCATTCGTTTACCACACGTTGTTTCTTAAGGCCTCAGAAGAGACCCCGCGCCCCCGCCGCGCTGCTCCGCACTTCTCCTCCCCGTGTCCTTCCCCTTCGCTTCCCCATGTTTCGCTGTCTTCTGCGGCCTGCTTCTTCCATCTCCCCGGCCTCATCCTTCTGTTCTTCATGCTTCTCATCCTCGTCCTAGTCCCCCCTGTCCTGGATCGTCCTCGTCATTGTCATGCTCGTCAGCATTCCCAGGCAAGGTGTCAGTGGAGCGTGTTGTCCACGGACTTCAGCCTTTCGCTTCGAGATGTCCTCACAATATCTGACGGTGTATATCTTGATATACGGCGGGTGTCCTGCTCGATAGAGCTCCTATATTCCAACTCCAGTCACTTGATGGCAAAACGAGAGACAGCGAGAAGCAATCTTGTTACAACTAATCCAGGCGTGCGTGTGCGGTCCCCCTGAGCTCCGGACCGAGTTTCTTGAAACTCACCAGGCTGGCTCCAGTTTGGCTTCGCGCCAGAATGGCTGCGGACAGGCGGCCTAGACAGGGCTGCGCAGGGCTCTCACTGGGGTTCCCTGGGCTCACATACTCACAGGGGGTTGTCTCTTCCTCGTCGAAGTATCGAACTTCGTACGAGACTGACATGCCCCGAACCGTCTGTGAAATCTTCGCCTGTCTGTCCACACAGCTCAGAGGGTTCAGTAAATCCAACCTGGCCTGGTACAATGAACTTCCGCCTCGTCATTGAGGCGTCGCATCTTGCATCATCTGCTGTCGCAGTCCAGGGTGACGAAGGTCACTCACAATGTCCAGGTCAGTGTCCTCGATCTCCATGTAGTCAGGGAAGAGCTGCCACGCATCATCTGCATCCACTGCGAAGCCCGTCTCGAGCGTGTCCAGACCCTTTTGTTTCCGATGCTTCTCTGAGATGAAGTTGGAATCGTAGATCAACTTCCAGGTACCTCGTTGCTGCCAGAGGTTGTGGCTCGCCCGGGCCTTCTCCGCATTCTTCGTCATGCAGTCGCTGAGCTGGGCGCCATTGTGACACCAACGTAATGATGTCGCCGTAGCCGCCATACCTCTCTTCAGTGCCAAGGCCTCCAGTGCGCTCCTCTTGTCCTTCATGCCCAGCGCGCTGCTCTCAGACCTGTCCAGCGCGTCGAACACTCCACGGCAGTCGTAGGACCAGTGCTCCTGTATTGCGAGCGCATCCTTGCGCCCACTGCTTCAGAGGAACTGGACCAATGAGGATCTCGCTCAGCAAGAGGCGGCAGAACTCCAACTCTTCTTGGGCTTCGCTGGCTGCTTGAACTTCAGCTGCGCTTGAGCTTCGACATGCCCTGGGCAACTTTGCTGATGCCCATGAGGCCAGAGAAATCGGCGCCTCCTTATTCTGCAGCAGCGCCAGGTCCGTCATAAAGATCAAGAAGCCTCCTTGCGATGATCCATCTCGGCGTACATTCAACGCTGCGTCCGAGTAGCCCACCAGACACGGATTGATGTGCTTCTCCATGATCAGTTCCTTGACTGCTTCCACCCGCGCTCTCCTGACCAGCTTGTTCGCCTGCGTCAGGGTGTTGATCGTCGCCGTGTTCGTGTGGGCTAATAGCAGCGACAGCTCCGCGCTGATGAGTGGAACACATTGAGTGGATAGCCACATCAGTTGTCCAAGAACTGCTCGTAGATGAGAAGCCTCTCCCGGTGTCACTCCAGCTTCTGGGTTCTTCCGACGTTGAGTGGGTATGTCGATCTCTTTCAACTCCTGCGCGTAGTCGACCATGTTCAGATGGATGCGACCCCGGCTCTTAGTACGTCCATCGTATTCTTGTCGAATGCGAGTCCCACACTGAACGAAGTCTTGCGTCTCCCAGCTGCCCCACTCGTAGGCGCCATGTAGTTCTTGAAGTGCATCTATTGCGGCATGAGAAGCATTGTTGATCGCAATCATGAAGTCGCCCACGTGCGCTACCGCAATGCCGACGAGACGGCCTTCGGAATCTCTTAGGCACCATAGGCGCGGCTCCGTCACCGACTCGACCCAACCGAGCTTCTCCATGTCCTTGCGCACTCTGGTCCACCACCTTCTCGGAGCGTTGACCAGGCCATAAACCGCCTTCTTCAGCTTGATGCATTGATGATGTTCAAGTCGCAAGGCTTCTCGAAGTTCTTTGACGGGTGCCGCTAGAACGTTCCGATCTTCTTCTCCCAGATCTTCTTGAAGAAAGGCAGCCTTCACGTCGCCCTTGAACACCTGGAATCCCATCGATGCTGAGACCCCCAAGAACATCTGTCGCGCTCTGCGGCTGCACGTAGGGGATGCCGTCTTGATCTGTCCCAAGCTCGGATCAGTACAACCAAGAACTACCAGACGCGCCTTGAGGTCGCCCGTCTCCTTCTTGGTAATGACCCAGCGCATCTTCATTAACGCTCCGGGATGTACACCAGCACGACTGGCCGCTTCACATACGCGATACTTCAATAACGACTTGATCTCGTTCTCTTTGGCGAACGGCAGCTGTTTCTTCTCCTCCGGTGTGAGATCCTTCAGCTTGACCTCCACCTTGTTCTGCCTATCCAAGGCTGCCAGCATTCTCTCTGGATTCTTCTCCAGCTGGCCCAGGTCCTTCTCGTCTATCGTGAAGCCCACTAGTACTGCGAGCCCTGCTTTGTCCTCGGTGGAATATCCGACGAGGTCCTCCTGCTTCGCCTTCCGTAAGCACTCCCAGGGCGACCTCCACTACGGAGAGACTTCTTCTTCAGGATCTGTGCGTCCCAGATCGGCCGTGTAGACGTCAGGCGCCTTCGCCTTCAGCGTTTCCATGTAGGTCACGAAGTCGGCGCGATGTCTCTTCAGGTCTCTATCATCAGAAGGTTCAACACTCGCTTCCCGCTTGTTGATACCCTCTGGAGGTGGCTCGCTGTCCCAGGGAACTTCTGCTTGAGGTCTGTCAGCAGGTTGGTCAGGTACTCCTCCTGACTCTTCGGGAACTTCTGCTGGTTCTCCTTGTAGATCTTCTTCTTCGTGATCAGGTCCATGTTCGTCGCCTGCCTCAGAGAAGAGGTGATCTCCGTGATCCCGAGGTGGTTCGCGGTGTTGATCCCCCCCCGGTCCAACTTCACCTTTCAGGAATGTCGTGCCATTCATCTGGTCCCGGTTGGTCTGCTAGGTCATCGAACGAGCCTTTCGCAAGGCCCCGCACTAGCTTCTGGAACTGGTCTGAGCTGCCTGCCGAAATGCTCTCCAACGTCTGCTCCGCCTTCGTGGCGGTGCGCAGGTGTGCTGCGGCTGCTCGTACCAGTCGATCACCATCCACTAGCCAGACAACTCCGCGACGTTCTGCTACTCCGTTCTTGACCTCGCGCTCTTGCATCAACACCGTAGCTGGAACATGGGAGCGTCCAGACATGCCCTGCTTCGTCTTGTGGCTGTTGCCCTTGGCGCTCCTCCAGTAGTGTGCCTTTTCGCCAGACTCCCAAACATTGAACGGTCGCGTCTTGGCTAGCAGCGCTCTCTTCGTCTTCTCGGACAGGTAGTGGTCTACACAGGCCTTGTACGCCGTCCGCTTGTTCAGCACGAGCTTCTGAAATTGATCCCCCTTCACCTCGGCGCTGAGAGTGGAGGGATTCTCCTCGTCTTGGAGACCATGTCCCGCAGGAGTGCGACCCATGAGGAGCATAAGTGGACTGTAATCGTTGTGCCTCATCAGGTCGTTGTTCGCAGCGCGCGCCCACGTGAAGATCTCCTGCGGCTCGATGTCGTCCGGAACTTCCCAGGCCATCCGAGTCGCAATCTCCTTGATCGTCTCTATGCACCTCTCGACCACGCCCATGCGCCAATGAGCTTCTCCCGGTTCTGGTCGCCATTCAATTCCATGACCTGATAGCCGCGCACGGTGTTCAGCTTGTCGAAAGCAACCTTCAGGATCCGATCTCAGAACTTCAGGTTTGCCGTAGTGCTGGATCCAGCTCTTCAAGACCGTCTCCTTCATCTCCTTAGCTGTGGTGTTGCCGCAGTTCTTGCCCATTTCCTCCTTGTTGAGTACGTGGCACGTAGTGAAGCGACTTCCGTAGTCTGCACACAGGGTGCCTCTTATATGATACGCCCTCCGGGGATGCGTCCAATAGAAGTTGTCGCATCCTAGCTCTTTCCCGGGCGTCGGGACTGAGGGCTCTGAGCTCGCGATTGGACGAAGTTTAAAACGTTTAGCGGCCTTGCACGATGGACATTCGTAGTGCTTGCACAGATCGACAAACTTCTTGTCGGCCTGCCGAGTCTTGAGAGCGGCCTCCACTGTCGTCAAACTGCAGTGCCCGGAGTTGCGGTGCAGGTGCGCGATGATGGCCTCCGTGTCCTTGAGCTCCTTCTTCGTGCATCCCTCTGCGCTCTTGGGAAGGGGTAGACGTAGATTGCCCAGCCAACGTTGATCTTCATGTAGTCCGTCACTAGCTGCTGGTTCCTGAGGTCCAGGTACTCCTTCCCCTTCTGTGGGTGCTGCGGCTGGTTCGAGAGTAGGTCGTTTGGGTTGCCCCTGCTGCCCTTCATCTTCAGGAGACCGTTCACCTCGGATCCGACGTCGTAGATGCTCCCGAACCGTAAAGACCCCACCGTCCTTCGCATTGATTTCTTTGACCAGGTACGAGAGGGCTTCGTCTGACGTTATCTTCTTCATGAAGTGCTTCGCTATCTTCTTGCACATGTTCACGGGATAGTTCGCCGTTAGAGCCACACGAGTCCTTCCTTCGATTGGTAGATGAACATGTAGGTCTTGGCATCGACGTCCAACCTCCTTTTCGAGAGTCTCATCGGTCGTCGCTATGTATCACTCCTTCCTCAGCAGCACGTCTTCCTTCTCATCGCGCATATCGTGCATGCACCCGTGGATAGTACAACCATGCAGTTCCTGCTTGAGGCTCTTGAAGTTACTTGTCCATGATCTGCATCTCCCTGTCTGCTCCAGGTAGACGTCGCAGAATCCAGCCTCTCGAAGTTTTGCGATCGCCCACGCCATGTTGCGCTGGATCTTTCGAGTTTTGATCAGCTTCTTCTGTGCTTCTTCGGTCATGGGGTTCAGGTTCTGCAGAGGGCTCTCTGCTCCGCAAGGAGGTGGGAACCAGACCTTCCGTGGCCTCTTCTCCATCAGCACTTGGACCAGCTTCATAGCTCCTCCTCTCGTTGTGAAGTCGTAGCCGTTCCAGTTGCTGAATCGTTCCGCTCGTCCTCCTGCCTCTTGTGCGGCCTTCGTCAATCTCGAGTCTGCGACGCATGCCACTTCCGCCAGATCCAGACGTCCATATCGTTCGGCAGCTTCCCATGCTTCACCAGGTAGAGCTCCCAACGCGGTGGCCGCGATCAGAAGCGCGTTTACCATCGAGTTCTTCAAACGAGGTGGAAGTCTCCCGCTGGCCTCGGCATGCCTGAGGGCGTTGGAAGATCCTCGGGCACTGGAATTCCGTAAGCACTCTTGCTGACCATCGGTTCTGGAACGCCATGCCGCTTCATTGCCCTCGGTGGATCGATCATCTGCTCTACCTTGATCTTGACGTCCGGACTTGACGAGGCTGGAGTCTGGATGAGACCCTTCTCGATGATATCCTTGGCCAGGCGCGTCTGCTCCTCCTGTCGAATCGCGTTCCTCTCGTTCTCGATGATCACCTGCACCTCTGTGTCCGAGAGCGCCCTGATGACCTCCGACGATAGTCTACTCGGCAGCGGGCGGCTTGACGTCGGCTGTGGTGTGCTTCGCGTGGTGGTCGGCTCGCTCTCTGAGGTGCTGTCCGTGTAGTTCATGTCCGGGTTGCAGGAGGGGCGAACTCGTGGTTGAGCGTGCCCCGTCGCCTCCAACCGCTGGAAGTGCTCGCGCGACTTGATGCAGAGGCTGAGCTGCTCGTCCTGCGGCTTCGCGAAGATGCACTTGAATAGGATCTCTCCGCAGTTCCTGCACTTGATCTGATCCGCGTGTGCGTTCGTCCCCTGACGTGTCTGGTTCCGGTGCGCACGTGATCTGACCATTGACTGCCCCGATGAAGAGATTCGTGTTGTCTGGCTGAGAGTAGCAACTCTGAGCCAAAACAGTTCTGGGAAACACAGATTCCAATCAACCGAAACTGTTCGACTTGACGAGCGTGTTTGTGATCTATGAAACTGTCCCGAACTGTGATACCTTCGCCACTTTCTCCCATCATATATGTGATCCGTTCCCCGAGAAGTGCCGAAATTTCCCGATCGTCAAAATCACGCGGGTCGCATCTTTGAGAACGAACCCGACGATGAACTCTACGTAGGGCCTCTGGAGTTCCAATCCAAGTATCCTTCTTAACCTTGTCTCCCTCGACCCAGTTCGCGTACTTCAGGAGGTGTTCTAGAATCGGTTTCATCATCTGGGTGCTCAAGTTCGGGAACTTTGATCTTATTCTGATGCTTATTTCGAGTAGCTGTTGGAGCTCTCTGGGAAGGTCTTCAGCGTCCTTTGGGCCCCTGGTAGCGACAACGATGGATGACGTCTTTTCCACAGTCGTCGTGTCGCGACCAGGGCGCTGTCCCCATTCGCAACAAGAGGCCGAGCCAGCGTCGCTCAGCGCCGTCAAGTCCAAGGCAAGGTGGCCAGACGCCAGCACCTTCGTGGGAATCTCCTTCTTGAGCCTCCTGGAGTACACTGCGTTCCGCTCGTAGTCGATCACCAGCCCAAGCTTCTTCAGCATGTCGACTCCCAGTAGGGTGGGGGACGGGCGGTCCAGCACGTAGATCTCGACTGTCTGGTCGTCGAGGTCGTGGACCTGGAACGAGACCTTCGAGGGGGCGTCCGCCCGATCGCCACCAGCGAACGAGAAGCCCAGGCCCGCCCCCGTGTTCACCTCCATCGGAAGCTGCAAGTGCTCGTTCAGGCACTCCAGCTGCTCGACGCCGCCTACGGACATGGACGCGCCACCGTCCAGAAGCGCGTAGCCCTTGCACTCGTCAAGGCTGAAGCCGATGAACGTGCCGTCCTCGAGGTTGCCCTCGTCCTCCGCCAGGATCTGCTCCTCGGTGCACGTGCCCACGAAATTGTCGAGCTCCATGATGTGCCCCAGAGCGCCCACGAAGCTGCTGAACGCCCTTCTCCGATCAGCCGTTGTTCCACCATTGCCCCGATTGGGACACTCCCGAGCACGATGACCTTGCTCTCCACAGAGCAGACAAGTATCCTTGTCCACTTTCTTCGGCGCTGTACCTGATGATGTGCTCAGCCTTGTAGTTGATGGTGTGCCGCGGCCTTTGCCTTTGTTATTGCCATTGCCCTTGCCTTTCGAGGGTGGTCCACCTCTGCTTGCTGCACGACCTCGTCCAGCTCCTTGACCTGGTTGAGTAGGCAGGGCATCCTATGCTCCCAGTCCGACCACTGGGAAATAGCCCCTCGCGTTCTTCACCTCGTTGATGAGCTTCCGCGCTTCCAGGAACGTGCGAAAGGCAGCGAACGCCGTCTCTGTCCACTCGTCAGCTCGTTCTTCTCCAGGAAGTACTGCCGCAGCTAGACTTTCGTCCTGTCCAAGATTCTCCTCTGCGACCGAGTGGTCACCGATCGTCGCTGTCACGAGCTCCTCGGCGGCCGCCATCGCTGTCTCCGTCAGGTCGGTGGCCTCTCCGAAGCCGTCCTGGTAGGCCTCGTCGTAGATCTCCTCCGCGTACGCGGTCAGCTCGCCTATCTGCTCCGTGTCCTCGAAGATCGCATGCACCCCTTTTCTGGACTTGTAGCCCTTCTGCTTATCTCTGGCGGCCAACTTGTTCTTCAGACCATTGCTCTGCCAGCGCCTTCTTCACGTCCTGGTACATGTACGAGTTGCCCTTAGGACCCGATGTCGCCAGCACTGCTGCTTGCTCGCATGGATCCAGGCCCGTACCATCTAGCAACATCAGCCCCAGGATGAATTCGTGCATGAAGCCCGTCGCTGGACTGTCATTGCACACCGCGTGTAGGGCTTTGCCAATCTTGCTGAGGTGTATGTCGAACCTCGAGACCCACTTCTTTGGTCCCTCACCCGGGTTCCTGTAGATGCCTCTCATGAACTCTCTCCACTTCGACACTGCCTCCTGCATCGTCACAGTACCTCGAACGCCCTTCAGCGCATTCACGACTCTCTCGGCGCCATCTTCCTTGACCAAGTCGTCTAACGTGACCTTCTTGGTCTCGTGCCACTGCTGGGAGTCCTTGTCCATCGCCTGCACCAGCCTAGGGCCTAGGCACACTCTGTCCTCCTTCTTAGTGCCGAGGACCCACAGCTTCACCTTCTCCTCGAAGCTCTCGAGTGTCGAAGCCTCGCCATTCCATACTGGAATCTTGACTCCCCCATTGGCCTGACTCCATTATTCTTGATGTCGCTGGAGATCGAGTTATTCACCTCGAAGTGGCTGCCACTTCGTCTCGCTACCCATGTCAGTGGCGCGTGTTGTCCACGGATCTCAGCCTTTCGCTTCGAGATGTCTTCACAATATCTGACGGTGTATATCTTGATATACGGCGGGTGTCCTGCTCGATAGAGCTCCTATATTCCAACTCCAATCACTTGATGGCAAAACGAGAGACAGCGAGAAACAATCTTATTACAACTAATCCAGGCGTGCGTGTGCGGTCCCCCTGAGCTCTGGACCGAGTTTCTTGAAACTCGCCAGACTGTCTCCAGTCTGGCTTCGCGCCAGAATGGCTGCGGACAGGTGGCCTAGACAGGGCTGCACAGGGCTCTCACTGGGGCTCCCTGGGCTCACATACTCACTGGGGGTTGTCTCTTCCTCCTCAAAGTATCGAACTTCGTACGAGACTGACACAAGGGGGGTCAGCGGAATCGACCGAAGGGAGCATGGTCGTCACATCCAGCCTTCGTCACCAGTGGCAGTGCTGTTAGAGTTCGTCAACCTCCGCACGAGCACAAACGGACGTCCGCACGCCGCGCGCACGCACACAGCGTGATTGTTCGACGCGGGGTGGCGCGAATATCGAAGATGCTACACGAGTCTCGCAGATGCTCGCATCCTGACCGGGAGGGCGCGGGCTCGCTTTGTGATGATGCCGCCCGTGCGCGGAGCCAGAAACGTTCAGTTCTGCCAGGGCTGGCGCCCATCGGAGCGCACAGCTTTCGAATCTCGTCAGTCTGCCTGAAATGCACGCGCGTCGCGTGCATCTTCGCAAAGTGTGCGCATGCAGGCGCGCAGGCACGCAAGACTGCATGCTTGGAAGCATGCTCGCCTAATGTCATACCTGGACGTTCAGCTCGTTCGCATGCGCACACATGCTAAGCTTTTTCTTTCCAAGGCCACACCACGTGCACCAAGCCTGCGAGAGAGGGTGTTCCTTCAATGCCAATCGAATCACCACAGTATTTCGTCAGTGTTTGGAGTAGCCCCAGCTCGTGTGCTCATGCGTTTTCAGGTGCTCAAGCCTTTTGGAATGCACGCCGTACAAACAGGGCACGGGGGGATTCGGGAACCGTGAAACTGACCCGTGAAACAGAGCCAGGGTTGCCTTGACCAGGGCTAGGATCTTGCAAATCCCGATGTGCCCAGCATTTACCCGAGTCGTTTGCATTGCGTATAATGTATGGCTCACTGGGTGTCACTGACTGCTCGTTGCCCGCTGATTGACCGACAGGGAGGTTAAGGTCTGGCATTTCGTGCGTTCCCGCCTGCTTATCCAGAAACGTTTTCTTCTGGCGAGCTGCGATGGGACGA